TTTATTAGTGATTAGTTGTACAATTAGCTTAATGATTTGGACGTCTTAAAAAATATTATTATTTTATTCAATCTATTTTTAGAAATAGTGCGATTTGTTTTATAAGATAGTATATATATATATATATATATATATATATATATATATATATATATATATATATATATATATATATATATATATATATAACTTTTATTTAGCATTAATTTTTCTTTCATAATGTAGATTTGATATAGATTATTAAAACTTCATCCTTGATATTAACGTTCCACTTTTTATATTTAAATTTTCTATTTTTTGTTTTTAACAAAATGACATTTTATTTCAGTATCTGCACAAATATATTATTAGAAGTCATGAATGCATCGGCATGCCAAATGTTAATGGGTTTAATCTGTAGGTTTTACAATCTAAAGTTCCAACCTGGTCATGGTGATTATAATGCTTTCTATATACCCTAAACAATGGACATTTTATTTTTTTCGATGCTTTTATGTTTTATGATTAATATTTTTGGGGAACTGATCGGTACATAATATATTTTTTTTTTTATACACAACAATTTGTGCATTAAAATGTTGTATTGTACAATTCTATAATGCATAAATTGTTGTGTATGGCAAAAAATTGTTGTGTACGAATCACTTCCCATATTTTTGTTGTTTGAATAGTACTCGGTTGAACGTCTTCTAAAAAGTATGGGGCTTTATATGGCAGATATATGTGTAAGTGTAACTAGCCACATCCTTAACAACTATAGTTATTTCAATTATTTTAAAAAATAGAATCTAAATAAAAGTTGAGTTTTCAATGTATTAGTTTTGACTTTAGCATTAAATAATAAATTTCTAGTATGGAATGATTTGATTGCTTGGGTGAAATAAAAACCGAGTAACACAATATTTATTGTATTCTATGATTTTTACGGCATTGAGTTTATAAAACGTATTTGTAGTAAGTGTACTATATGTTTACTTTCTTTAAGTTATAAATGAGTATTGGTAATATGTTTCTAGAAGTCTCATGATGCTTTCACTAACATGTCCATTTAAATCAATGAATTAAGTATGATATTATAATTAATTTGGAAATACAATGGGTAGATAGAAAGAAATAAAAGCATATTTTATAATCTTCGACAATGGCGAATATTGATTTTGAACCTTTTGAAATAAAAATGGATTTTAGTTTGAACCTAATTTTAGGTTTTATAAACTTCATTTGAACTTAAGAATTCAATCATATATTGGTAACTGCATGATCTAAGTTTAAAAATTATTTAATCTTCAAGTTTGGAGATGATTTAATGATGATTTTCAGGTTACAACTCATTTTGGAGTTCAAGTGATTCAAACTGATAAAGAACAAGTTTTTGTTGAGTTTTTTTTTTCTTCAAAAATAGTCTAATTATATCATCAAACTTGACATAATTAACAACAGAAACGATTTTACATTTGAATAATCTAAAACCATTTTAGTCACCATTGATCATTTTGCAAAGCTTAGGAATGATTAAATCAACCGCAGAAGGGACAAGTTTACAACATTTGAAGACTTTGGGGGTGTTTGACTTATCTTTTGAGAGACAAAAAGTTCTTTTAGAAAAAAGATAGAAGTGAAAAGATGTTTGGTAAAAGCATTTGAAAAACTACTTTTGAGATTTTGATATAAAGAAAACTGACTTTTTGGAAAAGTCAGAAAAACCTGACTTTTTGTATCTTTTCTTAAAAGTCCTTTGGCCTCTCAAAAGATAAGCCAAACACCCCTTTTGATTCTCATGAGAAATAGAAAGTTGATGAAGTGTGGCATGAAACTCTAAAATAGAAGTTCTTTTAACAAGAGTAAACCACCAAAACATGATAGTCTTCACTTGTATAAGTTGTTCTTAATTCTTAGATGTTTATACCAAATAAATCATCAAAAGAGGAGCAACTTAATCTTCAAAGAATGTTCATTAAATTGCAAAACATGGAAATGAAGGGAGAGCACTTTGCTCTTGGATTTGGGTGAGAAAAAAGTGGAACAAGTTGTGAAAAACTAGCATTTTTCTTTTCCAAATACTTCCTTATACACTTAGACAAGAGTGCCATTGCCTTCCACCAAGTCAAACAAGTTATTGTGTAAAGCATAGGGCAAATGTCATATTAGCCCATCAAACTTTTCGTGTTTGTTTTAAAAGGTCCCCAAACTTTTTTTTTTTTGCACATTAAAGAAATATACTTTCATTTCTCTGTTTTAAAATACCCTTATGTTACCTTATACCGGGTTGATAGGTAATATACATGCCACGAGGGAAAATGTTGGTGACACGTCATTTAATGAAATGGACACATGTGTTGTACTTATATTAATTTGTTATAAAGTAAACCGCATGCGTTATACAATCCCCTCCCCCTCAGTGAAGAAACCACTCGTCATTGAAGAACACCCTCATCGTCCCACCATAGTAACTGAAGATCGATGACTATATTCCTATCAATCAAAGTTCATTTCCAAGGTGTGTTCATCAACAAACCTTTTTGCTATTCTGATGGTGTTCATCATGTGTTCGAGAACGTCGATTTTGCTGTATGTCATTTAATGATTTTGTGGGTTTTCTTGAAAGATTCACACAAGAGAAGTGTAAGAAAGTTTATTATTGTCAACCCGATTTACAAATCCCAGAGGGTTTAACCTTGATTTTGAATGAACATCAATATCAAGAATTTATAGACATTGCTTATCAATGTGGAGTACAAGTTTCTGTTTACATGGACCATTTGGGTACTACTGTGCATGTAACGAAGGCAATTGAAAATGAGGATCATTGTTCTGTCAAGTCAAACGTGTCAATCGAAGGGGAAGAAGGTATTGACCTAATTGAAATTAAGAGTCCACAAGAAATCAACATGAAATGAATAACCTATGAAGGAGTAAGTCCGGGTAATGGAAATAAGGAGGCCACAGAAGGTGATCCAAAAGATGATGAAGATGATAATGTCCCAGATGTGAAAGGAAAACCGATGTTTAATGAACACATACCTTGGAAGAAGCAGTTGCCAATTCTAGGTATGAGGTTCACCAACCCTAAACAATTAAAATTTCTGATTTGTAATTATGCTGTAGCAAATGGATATCAATTGTACTTTTAAAAAAACAACAGTAAAAGGTTATTGGTTAAGTGTAGTAATGGTCAATGCACATTTAGGCTTTGGGCATCATGGATGAGTGAGGAGCAGTCTTTCCAAATCAAGTCCCTTATCATTGACCACAATTGTGCAAGAAATTTTAAATTAGGGTCAATTGTTAATTACAGATGGATTGGTAGTCATTTCACCCGGGCAGTGCTTGAGAATCAGAAATTCAATGTTAGGATGTTAAAAGAAGAAGTAAAGAATAAATTTGGCATAAAGGTTAGTATGGGACAATGTAGGAGAGCTAAGAAACATGCAATGTCTCTTGTTGAAGGTACCATAGTGGAAAATTATGCAAAGTTGTGGTCCTATGGTGAAGAGATAAAAAGGTCTAATCCAGGGTCAACAGTCAAGTTGTCTATGAACTCTATGCCAGATGGGAAAACTTACTTTAGCAAGATATGTATGTTTTCATGCACTAAAGAAGGGTTGGAGAAGTGGTCGTAGAGGGATAATAAACTTAGATGGGTGTTTTCTAAAAGGAATGTGTACTGGTTAGTTATTATGTGCTGTTGGTAGGGATGGTGACAATCATATATACCCAATAGCTTGGGTTGTAGTTTGTGTTGAAAATAAAGACAACTGGAAATGGTTATTAGAAAACTTGCAAGAAGATCTGCATCATGAAGGTGGTTTTGGTAGGACACTGATGTCAGATCAACATAAGGTATGTTTCTACTTTATAATGTCATACCTAATTTCTTTCAAATGTGATATAATTCTGAATATTATGATGATATAAATGCAGGGGATAATTGAAGCTGTGAAAGATTTATTTCCAGAGATATAACATAGGCAATGTGTCAGGCATGTTCTTTCCAATTTCAAGAAGAAATTCCATGGGGCTCAGTTTTTGAGAAACTATTTTGGAAGGCTTACAAGGCGTCAACTGAACCTCTTTTCAATTCTGCAATGAAAGAGATTCAACTGATTAGCCCTGCTGCTTATGTGCATCTGATTGGAAGGAATCCAAAATCATGGTCAAGAGCATTTTTTCAATTTGGAAAGGGGTGTGATGCAGTTGAGAATGGGTTGTCTAAAAGCTTTAACAATGTTATATTGGAGGCTAAGAAGAAACCAATTATTACAATGTTGGAGGATATTAGACTATATGTGATGCAGAGGATGTGTAGTTTGAGGAAGAAAGGAAGTGGATGGGGACATCTTGATGTATGTCCAAACATAAGGCTTGCCCTAAATGAATTAAAGATCCAACAAAGGTACTATATTATTCACCATAATTGAATTGAATATCCAGTCAAAGTACTTTAATTACCCATGTTAACTTTGATTATTTATAGGTACTGGCAAGTGCTTCCTAGTGGCCTGAATACATTTGAAACAAGAAACTTAGGAGAGTCTTATGGAGTTGATCTGGAAAAGAAAACATGTTCTTGTAGGATTTGGCAAATGAATGGGTATGGTTGTGTACACTCAGTGGCAGCCATTAGTTATGTAAATAGAGATGTAGAGGTATTTTTTTGATCCTCTTTATCGTGCTTGCATATGTATGAACACATACAAGTACACAATTGGAAGCATGAATGGGAGTGGAATGTGGCCCCCAACAGAGTAGATACCACTTTTGCCACCATTGAAAAGGAAGATGCTAGTGAGATCTACTATTAAGAGAAAGAGGGACAGTACTGAGGTTACTGGATCATACAGAGTATCCAAGGCAGGCAAAAAGATGTTCTGTGGTGTTTGTAAGAAATCAGGCCACAATAAGTCAACCTGTGATGCAGTGTCAAAGCCCCAAAAAAGTCAGGTGAAAAAGAGGAAGGCTGAAGGTGAAGGTGAATCTAGTGCATTAAAGAAAAGGAAGGGTCAAGGGCAAAATGGGAATGGAAAGGGTGAAGGTGATACTAGAAGTGGAATTGGTTTCAAAATAGGAGAAGGTGAATGTGAGTCAACAAGTGGTGTGGCTAAGAAGAATGGTAAAAAAGTAGATACACTGAAATTAAGAAAAAAGTCAGAGAGGATACTAAAGAAAAAGTTGGCAAAAAAGGTTGCAGGCAAAAACGGTGAAGGTGATACATCAACCAAACCAATGGACTTGGATTAAAGATGGTTTTGGAGTATGCTAGTTATGGATGTATGGATGTTTTTTTATGTTTGTAACATGAATATTAACATGTCTATAAAACACCAAGTTATGATATTAATGAATGTATGGATGTTTGTTTTCTGTTTGTAACATGAATGTTAGTTTCTTTAGTTTAAAACATAACATGAATCTTTTTTTTTTTTTTTTATAATTGTACTTCCAATGCAATTCCATATAACAATGGACTTGAATTATAACAATGTACTTCCACATAAGGGGAAATTGAAGTCCTGCAACATACGACCTTCACATTTAGTACATTTCATTACAAACCATAACATCATATGCAAAGAAAAACAAAGGTTAAAATAGGAACTAGATTTCATTTCATTCATCCATTACAACTGAGGTTATTATCTTAACAACCCCCCCTCCCCCCCCCCCCCAAAAAAAAAAAAAAAAAAATTCTAAACACCATTACAGCCTCAATGGGCACCATTGTTCAAAACAATCAACAACACATAACCTAATACATACATATATACTAGCAGATGACGAAATTAGACAAAAAGACACAACCTTCAACAACCCTGATAACCCAAAAGAGACTAATCGCCATCGTGCTACCTACGAACTAAACTACACCCACCAAAATCCCCATCCACTGCATTCGACGCAAACACGAACCCCAATCAACGACATCACTGCAAATCCAACAACACCCATCATTGTCCCTTTCCTTTTCAAGTTGCGTATCTCCTCCCTAAACTCGCCAAGTTGTTGACGCATCTCATCTCGCATTTCCTCAACCTGCAATTGGGTTTCCATGGCATGAAGTTCTGAATCAGTTGGTGAGTCTAGTTCCGAAGCTCTGAAACCACCATAGGAGAAGCTTTGTTCTGAGGCCATCTTCTTGATTTATACGTGGGAAAAAAAGCGAAGTCGATGATGTGAATGTTACGGATTAGGGTAACAAAGTGGTGGGGAAGACGGATTTAGGGGAAAACGGTTTATAAGGGGACCATTAGCAATGACTTGGCAATTCTTGGGGACCAAGATTTCAACAGTAATATTCCACGGTGGTGTCCATGTCACGAAAACAGGGGATAAACCTTTTACAATTGGTAAAGGGATGTAATTAATCGGTAAAATCAAAGTATATTTCTTTAATGTGCAAAAAAAGTTTGGGGACCTTTTAACACAAACACGAAAAGTTTGATGGGCTAATATGATATTTTCCCTAAAGCATAGTGTGTAAAAAATGAATCAACAAACAACCATTTGCCTCTTGCAAGCAACCTACGACCATAAGGCCACAAAGTCAATCCAATGAGTGTTTTTTACACAATCAAGTAACTAGTAGTTGGAAATACACTTAGTTGGTTACTCCAAGTGTCCAAAAGTGTGTACACAACTTAAATAATCACACCATATTATATATTACTAGTTTTGTTCCCTTTATTATTATTTCATTAAAATAATAATTCCCAAAATGTTGGTAACATATTATTTTAATAAAATAATGTTTTTCCAATTAAATACAATTGTTGATTATATTTATTAATAATCAAATTATATATATAAATAATAAAATAGTAGTAACTTGCTATAAGGTGTGATCCTATATGATCATAAGTCATTAGCAATATCATTCTATAAAGACTCGTGGGCATAAAGATCTTTTAATATCCCACTTGCACAAGACTCACCATAGATTGATATAGACAGTGGTGAATGCCCAACAACATTTCACTTCCCTTAATAATACATGACAAAGAATACCATTCATCAACATCCAATTCCCAAAAGCTTAAAGATTTAATTGATGTATAAGGTAAGTTTATAAGTTATCCCTTTATTATAGACATCCTGTTGAACATGAGACTTGGATCGCAATCAATCTCGTGTTTAACTTTGGGTACAATGGTAGATGCCTAAATCTCATCACATAGTAGGAATAAATCCCATATTTATTATATAAGCCTCTTGAATAGTTCATATTATACCTGAAAATGTATTTTATAACATTCGGGTTAAAGACCAACATTTGACCATAAAAAAGCATAACACTCCCTTCACTTAACTCCCACTATGTATCTCAGGTGTTAAGAATACAAAGATACTACCTTTTAATCAAGTGTCATTCATAACTGCGATTTATGAGATGATCTTGATGTGGGTCCATTCAATACATGTTCTCTAACAGTACATATGAATCTTAGTTACAACCCATTGCCTTTTTTCATCTGGTGAAAGTCAACCGATCCAATTCATATTAGTCATAATTCATGATTGCTCCCATAATCATGAGCAACTACGAAATTTTAGAATAATAAAATTATTCATTGATTAAACATGTTAATATAGAATAAACTAAGTATTATTATGAAGATCATATCCTAATATATCAAAACAATATATAATAGTTGTTGTTACAATATTCCAATATCCAAATACTAAATCCAAATCAAATCTCTTTTCTAGAATAATATAGTCTTATAGATGAAATGTGACCATTCAGACTTAGCTTAAAGGAAAGACTTTATTAATAGGTCTGAATAATTATAATTTTTGTGAATTTGGAGAATAGTATCATCTCCATATTTAACTTTATTCTAATTATAGTTAAATATCTTGGAGAATATGATTGGTGTTCTTATGTGATTTAGAGTCTCTTATCTTGATTAAGACAATGTCGTCCTTTTGAAGAACACTCGAGTGTCGTTTGTACGACCTTTGTGCGCGATGGGTTACCTAACCACTTGGATTTTGTCATATGATGTTCAAGGTGGTTACCGGATTTATTGGTGGGCAATGGGTCACCTAACCACTAGTGCAATGTCGATGCTACAAGTTGTGTCAAGTAGGAAGACTTGATCGGGAATCTTATATGATAATGGTCACCTAAGCATGAGACGACCGAGGTATAGATGGGATAAAACATGTCAAGTTAAAAAATAGTTATTGAGGATCCCATTATCCAGGAGTTACATATTTTATGTGTTGGGAATAAATCCAAGATGACGAATGCGGAATAGCAAGAACAATCAAGAATCAATCATCACAATATGCAAGTAATATGAGAAAGGTTTTTGTGTATATTGAATATGATATGAACGCACAAAGAAAAACCTAATCTAGTAATGACTTACCTTAAAATCTAACCTCATGATTATTTATAGGGAACATAAAATATATACCATAAATATAAAACTAATGCCTTAATATAAAATCAATGCCTTAGAATAGCTCGATCAAGAACTTCTACTATAAAGGCACCGTAGGGAATCATAAAACGATTAACCCTAAAAGGTTTCCCTAAATAACCAAACATGCAAAATCAGTTTCAATATCTCAAATACTCAACAATCTCCCCATAGATGTTGAAACTGATGAAGATCACGATTTTCGATCTTAATTCTAGGCATTTCTCCCCCTAAATTGCGAGACTTGTCAGCACATGGGGTATTTAAAGTGAGAGAAATAAAAAAATAACTTCCAAATACGAACTTCCCCTTCAATAATCATGACTCCCCTTTGAATCTTCAACAAATACCATGGAGAGAATCCGGAAAGTTAAGAAGAATCATCAACAATCTTCAGAACTCGTCAGATTTGATGAAATAAATACTTTTAGAATATACCCAATTCTCAAAAATTAAAACCAGAAAAATAAAAAAAATTAATTTTTTATTTTTTGATTTTCTTTTTTAAATTAGACAAAAAGAATGAAGTAAGAAGCAATTATTTAGAAGGGCTATAAAAAAAATAAGACCAAAGAAAAGGATTAGAAATGAAATTTTTTGGAAAGAATGGGTAAAAATGGTAAAATCCCAAGAAACTGATTTTTTTTTTTGGAAATGGGGTAAAATCTGTGAAGTTCTGAAAGTTACAGGCAAAATTTGAAAATATACCCCACTTTCTTCATTGTAACACTGAAATGAACAATATATTCCAAAGGGGTTGAAACTATAAAGTTTTCAAACAATTAGGGACTGGAATTGAAACTTATGTCTTCTTCGACTGGAATTGAAACTTATGTCTTCTTCTGCACAATAATGACACTATGTTGACTTCTAAAAATCAAAATCAAATTTTCAATCGAATACATAGTACCCAACATTCCGATGGCATCCAAATTCCAAATTTGAATAATGACATCGACTAATGTTTCGTTCCGATTCGCAGTGTCAATTTCACAGGCTAGAAGTCCCCTGTACTATTACGAATCACATAACTCTGAACAATCATTTACAATCGATTTCTCAAAAGTTCCGATTTCAATTGAGTTTGTTTGCGAATCTTCATTTAATAAATTACGAAAGCAGCTTCTCCGATTAAGAGACCAAGAGTTGCGAAAACATCCATTACATGCTAACCTTTAAAAGCGAATGACATATTCCAATCTGTGTTATAGATGCGAATCCAATTATGACTTTCGTTGCGAAATGAACAGATACTAGCGAGCCTGCAAATGCAAATGTTCCACTATGAATGTGCGATAATTGCGAACTTTGAACAGTAACATGTGAATGCTTGCGAATGCTTGCACCGATTCAGAGACGAACGTCAATTTTGTTGATATAGATGTGAATCCGGTTTCTGTTTTGCATATACAAACGATTGCAATCCTACGAACATCACCACATCCAATAGAATTTACCGAGCACCGGTTTGGAATTGACGTTTGTGGGAGTTGCGAATCTTAGCCTTGAAGATCATCTCCAATTCCGACGACTCTTAGTTTGGATGTGAAGGGGTTGAAGCGTGAATCTGATTTTGTTGCGTCGTGAATTTACTGGAACCAATTTTAAGCAATTGACCAAAGTTCCATTATGAATGCTTTTTGTTTTAATGAAGTTGTAGTTTGTACCTAAAGCCCGAAAGTGACAATCATTTTGTGAATAAATCTGAATCTAACCCCAATAATACCATAAATACGAATCTATCATCTTCTGAAAATAATACCCGCTTTGTAGTTGGAAAACAAAAATTTCCAAATAATTCATTGAATCAACCGAATACTTTTTTCTCTTTTCTCCAACTTTTAACATATTCATCTAAAGAAAAATGTGAATGAAATTTCCTTTGAACATTCTTGACTTTAGCTTTCTGAACCTTTTCACATGCATTAGGTACTTGTACCTTGGGCATCCAAACCTTCTTTATTTTACTCTTGTTCATCTTTTTTTTTCTTACTTTTCTGAATTCTAGGCCTCAAAAACGAATTTCGAATGTTAACAACATCTTCACCTTTCACGATTTCTGAAGTTTTGCATTTAGATTTGTCTTCAGAACTACTAGATTTGGATTGTGAAGCTTCTGAAAAACTTGAAACACTTGACTCCCCCTCAACAAGAACATCTAGAGTCACTTTTTCTTCAGAAACTTGAAGAGCATCATGAACTTCTTTTTTTTTTTTTTTTTTCTTTCTTTCTTTCTCTAACTTCTGTTGTTTATTTTCCCAAACTAAATGTCGATTGATAATATGAAATTGGTCTACTATTCTCTCATTCTTTTGTAATTTACGTTCATTAAGACATGAGTATTCAGTTATTTTCTCATCAACAAAAAAATTATACAACTTAGTAACATCTCTTAATGTAAAATCAACAAGAACATGAAACAAAGTCACTTTGTCTACACCATAGATTGATTTAGTAACTTTTAATCCAAGTTCTAAAATGGAGTTACAAAATAAAAGACCTATTAGATATTCAACAAGTGATAGAACTTGAAGAGAGAGAAAGTAGATCTGTTAAGAATTCTAGAGAGAGAAAACTAATCTGAGATGGTTTCTAGAGAGAGAAAATGGATTTGAGATGGTTTCTAGTGAGAGAAAATAGAGGGATGAATTTTAGAGATATAAAATAGATTTGAACACAAAACGTTTGAATAAACATGAAAAT